GTAAAGAACGTTACCAAAATGGATAACAATGCCATGCCATTTTTGCCTTTTTGGAAAAATTAGTTTTCATAGAAATATGTTATTAATATTAATGTAAAGACTTACTATTTTGTGTTAAATAAGTTGCAAATTACAGTTTGAACATGGTTTTCAGTGCTAATTACCGTGTGACATAACTCAGTACAGAAACAATCCATATAAACAAAATCCCTTTGGGTTCTTCAATATTATTGAAGAGTAAAAAGGGTCCTGAAACCAGAAAACTACTGCTTTGGGGCGGGCTCTGAAGAAGGGAGTGGGGAAAACAAAGGTATTGTTTTGCAATTTCTACTGTTTACTGGGGAAAAAGTCTCTAGGCATCCTATCCCTGGCCAGATGCTTTTGTCTAAACCTGACATTTCCTGGTCACTATCTCTTCTCTTTCCTCTGAAAACTAGACCAATGGTCCAATGATGCCATGGCGGATCATTTTCCCATCACCCTCGCCTCACAGGGGGTTCAGGAAAGCCCTGCCCCCTACCCTCTTTGGGGTGATCCCTTCCCTAGCCTCAGGGAGTTGTGTAAAAGGGCTTTCATGTCAGAAAAGCTGGGCCCCACAAATAACTCAGTCTCTGATTTGCATTTTTCCTGTTGTCTAAAGATGTTGAACATTTAAAAAGTATGTGTCCTGGCCATTTCTGTACTTTCCCGATAACTGTCTATTCAAGTTCTTTGTCCATTTTTTAAATTATGCTGTTTGTCCTTCTGTTGCTGAACTGTGTTCTTTATATATTGTGGATACATGTGCCTGAACAGATATAGGATTTGCAAGTATTTTCTCTCATTTTGTGGCTGCCTTTTCACTTTCTTGATGATGGTCTTTGAAGCACAAAACTTTTTAATTTTGAAGAAACCCAGTTTATCTATTTTATTGCCCCTCCCCCTTTCTGTAAATGCCAAACCATTGCCTAATCCAAGGTCATGAACATTTACATGTATGATTTAAAGGTTTGTAATTTTAGCCTTTAGATTTGGGTGGACAGCTCATTTTGAGTTAACTTTTCTATATAGTGTGAGGATCCAACTTCATGCTTCTATGTGGATATCCAGTTGTCCCAGCATTACCTGGTGAAGAGAGAACTCAGCATCTCTGTGCCTCAGTAGCCTCAGGGATTCAAGGGAACACCTTACAGAGTGCTGATAGTGTTTACTGAGAGCCCAAGGAAAACTCCCTGTGGGGTCGTTGGCATGCAACTGTCAAGGCCTATAACCAAAGGGGTGGACATTGGATCCATAAGTATCTGAAACACTGGCTGTTATTACTATTATCTGACCAAAGATTTTCCATTACTGAAGGGCTATGACCCCACTAGCTAGCTTGTCACAGTGCCTGTCCCATCCTCAAGGCACTGGTTTGCAATCTCTTTCCCAGGAACCCCTTTCCCAAGTAGCCTGACAGTCTCTTTTTCTTCCCACCTTCCCCTTTCCCTTCCTGACTTTCCACCTTAGTATTTGTATTAAATATTTTGGTCTTCATTAATTAGCTAATTTTAAATCATTAACCCAGTCAAATGCTTTCTGGCAAGGGGTTGGGAAGGCATGGATAAATGAATGAGTCTATCAATCCAAAAGCCAATTGGAAGATTGTAAAGTGAAGCCCCTAGGGCACCCTGGGTGGGTGTCAGGGTTGGCTTTGTGCGAGGCTAACTCAGGCTGTTTACCCCCCTGTTCCCTTCCCACCCAGGAGAGATACTTTTAAATCACGTCTCCCTCCTCCGCGGTGTTTGCAACACCTCCTGACTTAGTTTTCTCTCTGAATCTCATTAGTGTCCCATTTGCCTCCTCTTCCTGATCTCCAAGGCGGGCGTTAAGCAGGAAGAGGCAGAGCTGGCAACGAGGACTCCTGTAGCCTGATGGTGGGGCGAAGGGGACATGCAGGGGAGGAGGAAAGGGGCCCAGAGCTGCGATCCCAACTGGAGCTCTGGTCCACGCAGCTCAGGCCAACGGTGAGCAACTGGGTCCTCACTGTGCAGCAGGGGTGGGAGGCTCAAAGAGGAAGAGCTATTCCCGCCCCAGCTCACAGAGATAGATGATAACGCCTGTGTGTAATGCACTGCAGTGACTTCAACTTCGTGGGCAGGAAAAGCACATTAGGGACATCCCAGCAAGAGAAGAGGGCACAGCATGGACTAAATAACAGTGAAATCCAGTGTTTAATTATTTATTTATTCACTCACTTGTTCAACCTGCACTTCTGGAGTGCCTTCCACCTGCCAGGTATGAAGGCACTGCAGGGAACAATGCAAAGTAAGACCCTGCTGTCATGGAGCTTACATTCAATGGGACAAGTCAGAAGTAGATAAACCTGTCTAGTAATGTACCCTGTGGATGAATGCTACATAGAAAACTTCAAACCGAGGAGAGTCTCAGGGAGACCTGGGCAAGGAGGACCATTCTCTCACAAGGGGTCAGGGGGGCCCTGCCCTTGCTCCATCATGCCCCTTCCCATTGCTCTGGCCTTTTAGCCTGTGTGCTCTGCTCACTTGGATGGTGATTTTGAGTCTCTTTGCTGCTGTTCTTCAGCTGGAAGAGTTTCCCCCAAGGCTGGAAAAGGTCCTATGCTTTGCACCCTGAAGCAGGGTGTGTTTATGGTCCACAAAAGAGCAAAGAGGCCAACCACAAGGCAGAGCAGGTGGGACACAGTGGGAGGGAGGAGGAGCCTGTAAGTCCTGGTAGAAGTGGGAGGGCCTTAAGGTGGGGAGTGTCGTGACCTGGGAGATGCTTTGACCAATGCTTTCCTGCTAGATAGAGGAGGGGAAGGAACAGCAGAACTACTGCCCTAATGCGAGGCTGAGGTGGTGGCTGGGGCCAGTGTAGGGACAAAGGAGGTGGCCACGGGGCTGGAGAAGGGAGAAAAGTGATTGATCAGTGTCAACACAGCACAGAGTACAAGGGGCAGCATGATTGGCTGTAAGACGGGAGAGAAAAGACATCAAATATGCATGTCCTTAAAACATTCCCCAGAATGTCTAGGGGAAGAATCTGTCCAGGCTAAGGCTGAGATTCAGCCCCATCCTGTCAGACTTGGATCCTTCTACCTAGCAGCTGTGCAAAATGTTTCCCCTCCCTCCCTTGACATGGATGAGTTCAGCAAGCCTCACTCAAGTCCAGCTCTGCGGGTGGCACCAGCACGGAGATGACAAAACTGCTCAGTGGGCTCCTAAGGGGTCCTTCTGGTAGAGCTAGAAGATAGGTCCCCAGGGCTGTGACTCATGCAGGACATGGGGGAGCCAGGGAGGGAAAGCCCAAGTCAGACAGGAAGAAATCACACTTCCTGGGTTTCAGTGGAGTGGGGACTAGACTCAATGACCTTTTGATTATAACTTTCAAGTCATGATCGCCCATGAGCATGGATGGGAACGAAGGGGGACCTTCAGCTCTCCCCTTACCTTGCTGAGCCACACTCCATTTTCTGCTCTTGTTACTGCCTCATGGAGTTATGGGAGTTAAGTGAGTTGTATCAATCAGGTCCTTGGTCCAGTGCCTCAGTGAACATGACTTTGCTTTACTTGTTGCTTTCTATGAAAAGCTAAAAGTCTTAAAGGATCTAGGAAGGAACAATGTAAAGTAGAGAGCCATCTATCCTCATGTGGAGCATTTCTCTGTCTCAGAGCATTCCTCTGCACATTCTTCAGGCAGACAGCAGAGGCACCTTTGCTGGCCTATAGTAACTGTTCATTATGCCTTTGGTGAACAGATAAATGATTGAGGCAGAGGTGACGTAAGGTCCAGGCCTCAGCAGTTTTTAGTCATGAGACCTTGGACAAGAGAGTTAATGTATCTGAGCCTCAGCTCCTGACTGTAAAATGGAAATAATAATATCTACCCTGGCAAAGACAGTGAGAGCTCATCAAATATGCATGTCTTTCTCACATTCCCCAGAATTCTAGAAATCAGACAAGGTCCACAGGAATAATTTTGGACAGTGGGCTATGTATCACATCTGGACTGAAGCATTTAACAGCCAACAACTTCCAACTCTCTCTTCCTCTGCTGCAGAGACTATGGTGGCCATGGACTCCAGGTGATACATTTACAGTAGAGCAGAGCTCTCATCAACCTGGCCCCTGAGACACTAAACAGACTCAGGCTCTTCACTTATCTGGGCTAGACATAGAGCACGTGTAAGAAATATAACTCAGCTGGGTGAAGCCACTGTGATTCTGGAGTTAATTTATTACTGCAGTACCAAAGACTCTAACAAGACTCATACTTTACAAGATTGCTCAGGGGATAAGAAACAGGGCTTGGCATGAGCAAGTGCACAGTAGGCCTCCAACACAGGGCTCCCTGTCTCCTTTCTCCTTCCTCTTCTTCCTCAGCCTCCTTTGACGTGGCCAGCCTCCACTTACAATTCTACCCATCTCTGGGACACCTTCCTTCTAACTTGAAACATTGTTCCGCTTTCCTCAAACAATCCAGGAATTTCCTACAGTTTTGATCTATGCTGTTCTGTACAGATGTGAGGACAAGCTTTCACAGCATCCGCTGGCCTCTGGACCACTTGTCTCCCTACAGCCTCTCACTCACTTCCCTCCACCCTTTCTCAAATATACTCTGACCTCAACACTAGCTCCAGGTCCTTCACTCTAATTTCATTGACCCGAGAGTGGCGCTGACGGCCACCACTGCCTCTGCAGTCCTGGACCTAATTCTGCTTCAGTGTTGTTAGCACCCCACCACACCCTGGATGGACAGCGGACCCCTGTGTACCCTGCCCTCCTTCCTACTGTGGTGGCTGCCTGCTTGGTTTCCAGCAGCTTTTTCCCCCCTACCAGTCCTCTGCACCTGGTCCCTGAGAAGTCTGCTGCCATTCTTGCCTGACCTGCACCTCTTACATTGCTAGAGCCAAAAGCCTCCAACAAAAACTATGCATGTTTTCAGATTCTAAGGTGCATTTCCCAAGCAGGCCACAGGTTTGCCATTGATGACTGCAAACCAGAGCAGATGAGGGGACTGACCTGGCTCCATGTCAGCATGATCCGAAAAGTCCACAGCATCCGCGGGCCCTGTAGCCCTCTCTCCACGGCCATCGGGTCCTGGAGGACAGGGAGGAGTCCTTTCTGTTGAAGCAGAGAACAAAGACTGGACTGAGCAGGGGGTAAGACTCCCCCGACACTTTCCCATGGACTTCTCTCCAGTAGTCATTATACATGAATGTCAGTGGGGAAACGGGAGTTGCTCCCTGCCCCATAGCAACGAAGAGAAGAAAGTGAGGTTCTAAATGCTCAGAAAACCCCACATAAACACTCTCTGCAGCCTCCCTGGGAGGCTCAGTTGTGTCTTCCTCCCTTATGCATCTTGTGCAATGGGGCTAATGGTCTCATCTTATAGTCATCACTTGCCTGTGTGTTTTCTCAAGGGCAGGGACTGCAGACCAAACCTCTGTGCAAGCAGGTGTCCAGCATGGGGCTTGGAGAAGAGTAGAGACTGAGTATTTGATGATTAAAGGGTTGATTGTGTGCTGTGATGTGGATGGAGGGAGCATGGGCCATGGGGCTGAGGCCTAGGGACCAGCACGTCACTTCAGTTCTCTTGGGTGAACCTGTGAAATGGTCCAGGCTGTGCTGTGATGTACCATGCAGGGTACTGAAGTCACCTGGGCAGGGGTCTTCACACAGCTGAGTTCTGTTCTGCTCCTCCTGCCTACTGCGGCCTTTGGCAAATCGATTCCCCCCTTTGAGCCTCAGTTCCTCATCCAAAGGAGGAAAACTCTGAATTGGACAACATGTTGGGTTCTTTCTGTCCCTACAATTCTACAACATGAATCTGACTCCTGGTGGTATCATCAATATGCAAGGAGATGCCTTTATACAATAAAAGCTTGTCAAATAAATACAGCATCAGAATCTATCCCACTCAAAAGAAGGGTTGTGAGAGGCTCAAAGATTTGAAGTTATTTGCCTCAGGTCATTCATTTCAAGAGGAGGAACAGGGATTTCAGCCTAGACCCTCAACAACTCAAGGTCTATGCACTTTCCTGGTGTCACATCACCCTTAACACACAATATGCATTCGTGTACAAAAGACCACAGGCAACAGAGTAGGGCAGGAAGGATAGTTTTAGTTATCAGATTCTGTGTGTGTGTGTGTGTGTGTGTGTGTGTGTGTACGGGTGTATGTGTGTGTGTGTGTTTAATTAACTCTCTGAGAAGTTCCCTAAGTACACATTTGGCAAATATACCTAGAAACTTAGCTAAGAAGTGATTACGTCTGATTATTGTCACTATCAGGTGTGGAACTACTAGTAATTCCCATTAAAATTTTTTTCTTCCAAGTGTGAAATTTTGCTGGTTTCACCTGCATTTCATGTGTTTCTTTATTGCAAATTCTCATTCTTCTAAACAAGGAAAAACTCTCTTAGGCAGGCACATTCCTACCAGTGTAGCTCCCTTCTCTGCCCTCAGGGGTCAGGCTCCCGTACACCCTTGGGGCAGAAGAGCTGATGGGCTGGGACAGTCATGAAACAAAGACTAGAAGTAAACCTATAAAAGTCCTTCTAAGTTATACTGTGCTCAAGATAAATATAGTGTATTAATTAGGACATAACTATTATTACAGCATCTCAAATGAGCAATAATGACTATGGCACCTTTAATTTCTGTTTACTATGCCATGTTCTCTAGAAGTTAAACCCCCAAATTTGAACAGGAGCAGGAAATTGCCTTGCTGTGCTTCAACCACGGGCAAAGTGACAGCGCTATCTCCTGTGCCTAGGACTTAACCTTTTGGCCTTGTTCCCAAGGGTCTTGCTGTGCTCCTACTCATATCCAGTGGTTTAGAGATTTAATGCTTGGGCAAATGTTTGGCCAGGTCATGAAACTGCACTGACCACCCCAGACCTTCACGTGAAAGCTTTCTGTGTGGGCTTCTCACCTGCACTTCCTCCCTCCCCTCTGGAGGAAGCTGCACAATATAGATCTTACTCTTCTCCCACCTTCATCTTGGCCATCACTTCTGGGAAAAACCTCAACTCTTTTTCTGATTATTTCCTTTTCAATTCTCACATTCATATTCCCTCTGTTTCAAAGTACCGCCAATAAGCATATGATGAGTGCTAATGAAACCCAAATGCTCACGGGTTATGACGGTGTTTTAGAAGTGTTTATGCGCCAGCACTCCACTGAGGCGGAATCTGGTGAGGGAGGGATTATGGCATTCATGCACTCACTCGTTCACTCATTCATTCATATACTGAGTGTTAGGGGAGGACACTGAGGACTCAAAAACAAATTCTCTCATCAGAAAGCTGGCAAAGGAAACAAGGCATGGTGACAATGAGCAAGTAGGATTGGCGGTTTATAACAGAGATACAGAGCAAGTCTAGTACAGGACAGTGGATGGAGACAACACCTTGTTGACAGCTCAAAGAGGACTTACTGGACAATATGTTGACTAAACTTGGCTTTCTGCCACAGATGGCATTTGGTGTGGATATTCCCCACACCAGGGAATAAGAGCACGAGAGGAGGGTGTGACAAAGGATAAGTGTTTCCCATTCCACAGTGTGTGGGCCGTATGCCGGGAAGTAGAGGACATCAGACCTGAAGGGATGAAAGCTTCAACAGGCAGGTCCTTAATGCCAGGTCAGACAATGGCCATCAGTTAGTAAAAGGTAGTCACTGAGCACTGTTGAACAGAGACATGGCATAATTGGAGATCTGCTATATGAAGCCAAAACTGGCAGAGCTTGTTCAATAGGAATTGGGAGGGGAGGCCCTGGGGGCAGGAAGCTCCTGATTGTGTGCCAGGCTTTGAAGAGGCTGTCAGGGGTTCTGATCTCATTGAACATTATCTTTTCTGACTTGCTGATGAGGAAAGGCAGCTTGAGGAATGCTAAGCTGCTTGCCCTTAATCCCCCAGCTAGGAAGCAATGGAGGCAAGATCTAAACCCTGCTCTTTTCCTTTTTAGGTGAATCATAAAGCATGCCGTGATCATGCACATGACATCTCTCCACCTGTCACACCTGCCCTCTGTTTGCAGGCACCTCCTACTTGCTCTAGGGTATGTACAACATGCTTAGTTCCTGGGCTGCCCTTAGGAGAGTCTGGGTAGAATTAGCACACAGAACTTGGCTTCTATTGGTTTCTCCCAAAGCAACCGCTCATCAAGATGGCATGACACTCCTAGAGTTGGATCCCAAGCAACACTGACTATAGTTCCTCGCAGAACATGTCAAAGATTCAGGAAACCATCCTCCGCTCTGGTGAGAACTCACCTTCCCAGTTCCCTTCTCAGCTAAGCCCTGGTGACAGGAGCAGGGGACTCACAAACTCAGAGGAATGTCTTTTGGATCCATAGGAACCTGTGAGGTCATGCAGAATGTCAGGAAGAAAGCCAGTGTTTCTCTGCCAGACCACAGACGTTCAGCCAGAGGCTGACCTGGCTGATGAGGGAGGACTCCCCAGTGTGCTCTCAAAGCATGGGATCTGGCTCTTTGCACCTGCAGCCTGGCGGTGATGATTGTGAGTCACTCTCATCAAGACACCGACTATTAAAGCTTCAGATTTCCCTTTCTTTTTCTTGAATAGAAAACAAATTTCCTCATTCTAAACATGGAACATGATTATAGCTGTGCTATATCCTTGACAATCAAGGGTGCATATTTTCAGGGAAGAAGCCCAGTGCGGGGACAAGAGAAAAACGAGCAGGTCTGAGTCACCCCTCAACCAGTCACCAGCTGTGCAGCTTGGGACAAACGACCCAGCTTCTTGTCTCCTTATTAGTAAATGGGAATAAAATAATGGATCAGAGAGAATAAGTATCAGACCTTAAGTACATTCACAGTAAGGAACAGTGTGATAATTCCTTCTTGTTTTATGTTCCACATTCTGGACGTTTGCTTTGTCAGTGAGGTTGCTCTGCTCCTCATAAAGCTACCAATTGAAAAAGTGAATTTTGGGAGGAGAGGAGGCTCAACCTATAGAAAGTTGTTTATACCCTTGACCTGCTCTTATGACCAGTGTCTGGTAACTACTTGTCTTCATATCATTCTTTCCAGTACGCTAGGAGCTCCTTGGGAGTGACCACTGCCTCCCAATTCCCAGGGCACGGTGTTGTCTCCTTCCACACTGGCTACCTCGAGATCCAGACAAACCACAGAGCCTGCAGCTCTTGTGGGATTTTCTATTCCCAGCCTGGCTTGAAGAATGACTTTAAGCAACACCTTCAAGAACACATCCAATCCTCTGAAATCCATCTCATTATCATGTAAATCATTAGCACAAAATACTGCACCTTGTTGCTTTGCTAGGAGCTTTGGTTTCTAATCCAAGCCAATTATATACCCCAACATCTTCAATAACATCTTAATAATGCCAATCCTCCCAGCTCTCTGGACAGAATCAGACCAGGTTGAGTGATCTGAGGCCAATGCAATACTGAAAGTGGGTATAATGGGAAGCAGTGACACTGTATTCAAATTCTCTTTTGTGCAGGGTGGGTAACCTAGCACGGTGCCTGGGGTCAGGATAAATGCTCACTCGGTGAAGGTTAATTCTCTTCTCTTCCCTGACTCTAGAGAAAAGCAAAGCCATAAAACTTGTTGCAAGTAAACAGCGAGAGAAGAGAAGATTCACTACATCCTTGAGTTCATTTACAATATGGATTTTTTTTTAAAGCTTTTGTCCCTGAGGACTAAAGGAAGCAGATTATTTCATTTTAATTATGGTAGCTGCAGGTGCTGCTTGTGGACTCCAAGACCAATTTTCAGATTACAGAGAAAATACACACATGCACACCCACATGAACTCAGTGAGACTCCACCACATATACAGAATGGCACTTCCTTCAGACAGTGTCAGTGGGGTGGAAAAATCTGGAATGCTTTGCTAACAGGCCCAGGTGGGAATCCCTGTGGGTATGCACCCCCATCTCCCTCCCACTCACCTTCTCTGTGCCCTGAGTTGTGAAGAGTAGCTCTTGAGCTACACTGGTAATGGAATGTTTCATGTTGGGCAGCTGCACATTTTTAATGTACACATGGGGACATAAAGGCAGCAGATGGCTTTATGCAATCTTCCTGTGAATTTTTTACTGGGTGGCCTCATTCATGAAGGCATG